TCCAGCCTCGGCCAGTCTAGGATTCTATGATTCTATGAGATGTTACCAAGACCTGAGTCGTTGCCTGCATGGATCTGGGCTGGTTTAGTCGTGGAAATAATCATCTTTGCCCCCTTCCCATGAAGGCATTTCCACTTGAGTTGGCTCAAAGACATGCCAGTTCTGGCAAAGGCACGTTAAAGAAAAAAAGAAAAGAGCAAGAAAACTCAAGATTTTGATAAGGTCAGCTGGAAAAAAAGTCTGTTGCTCATCTGGAAGCAGAGTTGAGGTTAGAAATATGTTTTCTTTTATAGGGAAAACATCTCAAAGGCCGCAGCAGACATTGGCCGGGCATTTGTCGCTCTTGTAATTTGGATGATCGTGGAGGTTAATGTTTTGGTTTGGGTGAAACGTGGCCATCGGAAAGCCTCAGAAAGTTCAGGATGCAAACAGGCTTTGAAGCCGGGGAAAACGGAAGCGTCCCCACCAACACTGTTGCCACACGCCAGTCCCACCCCAGCGCCTGCTCCCTGCTGCTGGTTCCCTACTCTGAAAGCCAGAAAAGCAAAGGAGGGCTCATCTCACCTTGATTCATCCCGTTGCCCTGGGATCTGTGGTTTAAGCCCCATTTTAGCACATGTTACCCCCCACTTAAGACGCTTTGACCCCTTTAAATGTTCACCTCCTGACATTAGTATTGGCCGACTCCCAGTTAACATGGGCTACCTCCCAGTTAACACGGGCTATCTCCCAGTTGGCACAGGCAATCTCCAGTTCACACCCGCCCATTAAACACCCCCTCCTGACATTAGTATTGGCCGACTCCCAGTTAACATGGGCTACCTCCCAGTTAACACGGGCTATCTCCCAGTTGGCACAGGCAATCTCCAGTTCACACCCTCCCATTAAACACACATTAACCCCACTGGACACACATCACCCACAATTAACATCCATTATCGCCATTTAACACCCGTTATGGCATTTAAGGTGCAAAAAAGCATCAGTGCAGGAAAACGCCTGTGGCCCCTGGACTTTAAAAGCACTACCTCCATCCCAGCCAGTCCAGAAAAATATGTTGGTTTTTTTAAAAAAATTTTTTTTCACTAAAAAAAAGGCTGAGACTATGAGTAGGTACAATCTCCTGCAGTTTTTTTGCCAAACAGCCCATTTCAAGCAAAGCCAGCGAGCCGCCCCGCTGATCTGCCGGGCTTGGCACCGGACAGCAGGAACAACTGGGAGAATAAAAAAATAATTAAAAAAAAAAAAAAAGAAAAAAAAAACCCCAGCTAAAATGCCCTTGAACCACCAAGCTTTATAGTGTTTTTTGGGGAATGGAAAAAAGGTCTGTTTATATTCCCCTCTCATGCCACCCAGAGGCCTGACAGCCGTGGATGGCTCGTGGCTGAGTCAAACATTCGCGCTCGGAGCTCCGCTTTGTAAATATTTTATGAAGCATCTTTTGAGACTCATAAATCTTCGGGGGTGCGCACGCGTGCGTGCATGTGTGTACATGTGCACGCGCACTCCAGAAACGAAGAAAAGCTGCGATCCTGCTTCCAGCCTGTTCAAAAAAAAAAAAAAAAAAAAAAAAGAGGGGGGAAAAAATAAAAGGACAAACTGAAGTTTTAATGACCAAATTGGAGAGGGCTGCTTGGAAAATCTGACTCCTCTAAGAGCAGAAAAAAAAAGAAAAAAAGAAAGAAAACAACAGTTGCAGGCAAGTGCGTGAAGGCAGGACGTGCTGCTGGGCTGGGGAGGATTTTGGGTGCAATTTCTCGGAGATGAGGTGCACGTTGCCAACATTCGTTGTGTAAGTCCCCCCCTTACAGAGTTCCCCAAGAGCGGCGTCAGCTTTCCCATCCCCTAACGAGATCAGCCTGAATGTTTCAGTGGAACCGAAATTCCTATTTCGGTCGACCTCTCAAAGGCTGCAGCACCACTTGGCGGGATGAGGATGAGGGTGACATTCATAAACCCACTTTTTTATTTTGCTTTCACCCCGCAGCCAGCCTCGGGGTCAGCGAGACCCCCACTTCTCCCCCCAAGGCTCCCCCGGGTCTTCAAAAAGTCCTTGGACCCAGGGGAGGGATGAAGTTGAGCCTTGACCTGTCAGAATAAACCCAGGCATGAGAGACCCGACAACCCCAGTGCTGCCATTTCCCAGGTAAAAGAGTTCAAAAACCCGGGGGACTCATCTCTTTTCAATGGGTGTTACATGCGACTGGGTCTTGGAAGCCAAGGGAATCAGCCTGGGAGGTCGGCAAGAGGAAAGGGGGGATTCCTCGCAGCTCTTTTGCCAAGTGGGTGCTCCCCAAACCCCCTTCAGCTGCGGCTGGGGAGGCTGCCTCGCGGTGGGGGGGGGGGGGGTGCGCCAGCAGCAGGAGCCATTAGCATGGACAGATAAATTGTGTTTGGCTTTCCCCGTAACTGGAAAAAGGCTTTTCCACACTGATTCATAGCGCAAACGTGGGAGAATCGTCCCTCTCTACACGTTAGGGGTCTACTAAACGGATGTGCCAAGGAGCCCAAGGCTCTTTCAGGTGCTCTCCTGCCCTTCGACATCTCCCTTCACCCACACCACGGCCCCTCGGGTCCCGGTGCGCGGCCACCTCAAGGCTGGACACTGCTGCGAGGTGCGTCACCTGCCATCAGTCGTGGGAATTTGCAGAAACGCTCCTGCAACTTGAGAGGAAACCCCTCCCGAGCCCGGGGCTTCGCTTCAGCGTTTCGCTCAGGGAGCTTCTCGTGTTCGGAAAGGCGTTTCTGTCCATTTATAAACGACTTGAGTTTCATTCTGGCTCTTCCCCGCCTCTCAGCACGTGATTTCTGCATTTCAGATTAACCTCAGTAGAAAACTGCCAACTTTAATCTTTATTTTTGTGCTTCCGTGACCACCCCCTAGCATGTGCTTTGAGCCACGTCCCTCCCATTCCTGTCGTCGCTGTGGCCGGTTCCCAGCCCCACACCAGAGGGGTTTTCCCTATCCACTCCCTTCCTGGTGCCGAGAACGTTAGCGATTCTGTGTTCCTGGAGTGCATTGCCACCAAAGAGTGGCCACCCACAAGATGACAGAGACAGCTCCGACGTGGTACACCTGCACGTCCAGGCGTCTCCTAGAGGACAAAGAAGGGAGGGATAAAGGTTTAGATTTTGAAGTGAAGGGTTTGGCTTTAAGCTCATGCTGGTCAATGCAAAGAAGGAGAAAAAAATGAAGGCAGCAAAGGTTGCAAATGAAAATAAGAGACTCGCAGTGTCTGGCGGATGGGTCTGCTTCCACAGAACGACCGAGGGAGGAAATGCAGAGGGAAGCCTTGGGAAATGTTTGTTAAATGCGGCTGATGGAGAAAACAATCGCATCTCTGTTGTATGTATTGCTGGCCTCTGAGCTGATTTTTCCTCACGGAAACATCCTCGGGTCAGGAGGGACTTTGGAGCAGTTCAGCTCAGGGATCGGCAGCAGTTGAGAAGACAAACCAGAGGTACGGGCAGAGAGCTTGGAAGGGCTCGGCCGTGTCCGTCAGCCCCGTGCAAGTGGGCTCTCCAGCCTGAAAAGGAAACGGTTTCCAGTGATACCACCTGAGCAGCAGCAGGAAGCTCAATAAAGGCCAGTTATTCCCTGATTTTTAAACATGTGGCCAAGAGGCAGCAGCCAACACCAAATGTTGCAATGGTTGAGGCACAGAGGAGGAGGCTGATCCTGCAGGTCTGACCCCGGCAAGTCCCAAAGGGGCGTCCTTGGCAGCCCGCGCATCCCCTGCACCCCTCTGCTGCAGCCAGACCCCTCCTCACGCCCCTGCTGTCTCGCTCAACCTCTCCAAACCCCAGCCTTGTAAAATAAATTGAGTCGTCTTCCATCTGTTTAACACTCAAAGGCCATCGGGGAGAGCCTGGGGCTGAGCGAGGGCAGGGACCAGGGCCGGGCGAGAGGAGCACGGCAGCTGGCGGCCTCGCGGCGCAGCTGTCGTTTGCACAGTGCAAAGTCCTCGAAAATGAGTTTACGATAGGTGCTGCTGTTTCACCCTTCCCTCTCGGCCACCTGCTTCAGCTCTCCAGTCTGTGGAGCCGATCCAGAATTGTTTGCAGAGGCTGAAGGTGAATTTCTCCGATGACCAAGCTGCAGCCGCCATAATGAGTAATTTAGGTAAATAGTCGTTCAAATAAAAACCCAATGTACTTCTCTATCTGACAGTCTGTTCTCCAGCGAGACAAAGTTATATGAACACCTCGCTGCTTCCTTGTCCTTGTTTGCTTCAAAGCTCCTCTCTTCTCCACCCGCCGTTTCCATCCCGTGAAGCAGCAACCCGGCCGCAACCCTGAGCCAAGAGCAGTTACACGAACCACTCAGACAGGTCGGGCACAACCCGGTACTGGGCCTCTGTTGTCTGCAAGAAGTGACAAGCTCTGCAGACACACGCGGCCCAGTCAGTGCTAATCACAGGTTTCAGCCACCGGCGCCACTGGAAGTAGCGCTGGTCCCTCTCGGTGTCCTTGCTCAGCTCCCACAGGTACTGTGCCAGGTCCTTGGGGCTGCTGAAGTCATCGACGTGGATGAAGGAGTCAGGGGGCAAGAAGCGCTCGTAGTTTTTACGAGGAGGTCCCAGCATGACAGGGACAGTGCCGGAGGACAAGGCGTTCTTCCAGACCTTCTCGGTGATGTAGTCTTTGTGCTGTGAGTTCTCGAAAGCCAGGTAGAAGCTGTACTGGGATATGGTGGGAAGGAGCTTGTCCCAGGCCAGGGGCAAGTGGTACTTCCCGTAGATGTCCACAGGGATGTATTTCTGCAGCTCCAAGTAGTACTTCACCCGCTGGGAGCTCTGTTGCCAGTTGCTGACTACCCAGGCCACCAGCTTGGTCTTGGTTGGGATGCTGAAGGGCTGGGGCTGGTCCAGGAGCTGCAGCTCACCATAAGGGGTGAAGATATCGGAGTCTTTCCGGTAAGACATGGTCAAGTTGAAGAAATTGTTCATGTCGCGTAAGTTTGGCGAGTGAGTTGGTGACTCCAGGTTGAACCAAATCCAGCGCTGGGATGGGACTCTGGGAAGCTGGACCAGCCTCTTCGTGTCCCAGCACACATCCCTGTGATGCACAATCACAGCGTCGGCCTTCGGCAGCCAGCTGCGGTTGACCGTGAAGTGGCAATCTGGGGACCCATAGAGCTCCGAGCAGTTCTTGAAGTTAAAGTGTTGCCCAAAGGGCCAAGTCCATAGGAGGATGGTCAGCTTATGCTCACGCTTCAGCAGGGTGCTGCCGTCCCCGGTATAGTCTATGTATCGAAAAGGGTCTGACTCAAACGTCCCAAGCCGATGAAGGGAGGCGAGGACACAGGTGCTGAGGATGAAGAGCAGGAGGGCGCACTTCTTCCAGGAGATCTTCTTCCATTCCACGAGCTCCATGAGTGGATCTGCAAACACCACAGACAGGACCAAGGCATGACGGACACTCAGCAACCCTGACAGGAAGGCGGCCCCCAGCCTGTGGGGAGGTGTGGGGGATGCCGGGAAGACATGGGGCACACGTGGCCGCCTCGCCATAGGAGGGAAGGCAGCATCCTCCACAGGTGCTGCCTGAGAGCAACTGCCTTCCTGCTGGCAGGGGGCATCCTGCCATTGCCCCTTGCTGCCACCTTGGCCCAGATTCGGCCCTCATGGCCCCAAGGAGCTGCCATGGTGGTCACTGGTGGCCGCTGGCGGCCAGGGGGAGGCGTGAAGGGCGCAGGCAGGAAGAGTGGAGGTCCTGTCCACTGGTTCCTGACCCCAGGAACCTCAAGGCCTGGAAGTCACCATCATCCACCTCCCCACACTTTTCTGGTCCTGCGCTGTGTTGTGATGGACTGGAGGGAGCGGCCGCCCCTTCCTGTTTCCCTGAAAGCACATCCAGGCAGGGAAGGCCGGGAGGCTGCCATTTTGGTTTGGTCGCCATGTTAGGACAGGGTGCCACCATGGCAGCGCGAGGGCCTGCTCGCTGTCCTAGGCATCCTGCGGCCCTGAGAGGGGCTCACAGACAATTCCCACGTGCCCTCAGGCCCTTCGAAAGCTCATATCAGAATATCACAGATTTGCCCAGGTTGTAAAAGACCTTTGAGATCATCAAGTCTAACCATTAACCCAACACTGATAAGTCCTTGATTAAACCACATCTGGTCAACTCTTAAATCCCTCCGGGGATGAGGACTCCACCCCTGCCCTGGGCAACCCCTTCCAGTGCCCGAGAACCCTTTCCGTAAAGAAATTCTCCCTAATATCCAACCTAAACCTCCCCTGGCGCAACTTGATGCCATTTCCTCTTGTCCTATCACTTGTTACTTGGTTGAGCAGACCGACCCCAGGTCTCTACACCCTCCTGTCAGTGAGTTGTGGAAAGCGATGAGGTCTCCCCTCAGCCTCCTCTTCTTCAGCTAAACAACCCCGGGTCTCTCAGCTGCTTCTTATCCCATTTGTTCTCCAGACCCTTCCCCAGCTCCGTTGCCCTTCTCTGGATTCGCTCTGGTACCTCAATCTCCTTCTTGTAGTGATGGCCTCACCAAAAAAATTTTCTAATGGCAGACTGCCCCATGCAGCACCTCACTTGGATGTGTCTGCGCTCTTGGAAGAGTGACTATCCTACATTCTCCTATAAATGGACCTTGAGCTTGTTTGCAGGTTCTAGCAGGGGAGTGCAGCTAGGTATATTGTACGTAAAAGTGTATGTTGTATTTCTATGCAATATATAGAAGTATACAAATATGGTTTGGGTTTTTTTCTGTAATTTAGGTATAGATACACAGTTCTCTATATTCTTAATATGTATAATTGTGTGTGTATATTTATACTTCTAAATATTTATTTCTTTCTTCTAAATATTTATTTATTTATATAAAAATGTTATGGAGATTAAAAACATATAGCCACAAAGCCACAGGTGTAAAATAGCCAGGCTGGAGGTGGGCAGGTCCTTCACGAGAGCAGAGGGTTACCAGAAGGGTGGTGGGCATGAAGACATCAAAACATAACGAAGGGCCACAGACCCCTCCAAGGAAGCCACCAAGGGCAGCACAAATTCCATCACGTGCAAAGACGAGCTCCCGCATCCAAGCCCAGCCCAACAGGAGTGAGCACTGGGCAGACTTTGGACTTTGCAAGGAGCTGCAAGACACGGGCAGCCCTGCCTGCCAGCACAGAGAAGCAGAACAAAGGACAAACGTGTGTGTGAGCAAAATAAGGAAAATATCCCCAAAGGGATCCCCCAAAAGATGACACCAAACAGAGGAAAGGGCCAATGGGTCCGTGAACCAACAAGTGGATTTTGAGGTCACGCCACACCAAGATGGCAGGTGGGGGAGCTCCCTTTGCCCGTGGCTGGTGGGGATCTGACATCTGCCTGGGAAGCAGGTGTGGTGTGCGGGCTGCTGCTACATGTGTCTCCTTGTCTTTTGGTTGATAAATGTTCCCAAACACCTTATCTGTACTGATTAATGATTAGCCTCATTCCAGGCTTTTGTTTCGGTATCCTTCAAACAGCCAGTAGAGCCTTCTCGGCACCGCTTGCTCCAGTATGATCATCACCCCCTGACTCCCACCACCCTCTGTCCTACCACCACCGCTTCTACCACTGGTGTGCTGTGGGCCACTCCTCTGCACCAGATCACGGAATTGTGATCCTACAGGTTTTGCAACACCCCGTTGCTTTTAGCAATCCTCTTGCCACGGTCTCTAGGAGCATGGGGCTGTTGTCTGTGCCCCAAAGCCCAGGTCTTGCTGCTTTGGCAGTGACCAGGACCATCTCACAGCACTGTCAGGATTGCATGTTGATCTCTGCCTCTTATTTGCAACATGGACATAAGGACAAGGGAACCCATTCGGTGCGAGCCTGCAGCCCACAATGGTCTTACAGGCAGCTGTAAAGTCCCCCAAAACAACAGGATTTCCAGCAAAAGCCGGTGGACACAGCACTTGTCACCTCTTATCGTGTAAATCCACGGTACCCACGCTCCATGGGTATGAAATAGAGATGGAAGCAAAGCCTCCCTGCAAGCAGAGGTCCACAGACACCCTCCCTCCTGCACCCACTGCCTCCCTCTCGCAGCCCGAGACAGGTTTCTCCTCCAAAACCTACTGAAATAAAAAAAGGGCTGGTGCAACTCACCTCCGGTCTTGGTCCTGGTGAGAAAGGCGAAGAGTGAAGCGGATGACACAACCAGGAAAAAAGAGAAAAAAGAGGGCGCAGACGCAGGGAGGGATCAGCGACGTGTTCCAGGTGTTCCTCTGCACCCTGAGCTGCGTGTGCCAATCGCTACCACCAGGAACATGTCACCCAACAATAAAAGCTGAAATGAAGCCAGGGCAGCTTCCTCTTTGACAAATGAAGGAACAGAAAAATAAAGCAGCTCAGACGTTGCTCGTGGTCAAAGCTTACCTTACCACTGAAATCACATCCATGCACGCACCAGTCTGCTTCATTTGCCAGTCTTAAGCGGCAGGATTTGCTTATGATAGCCTTTCTTCACCGCCCGTGTTGCAGGAGGACAGCTCTGTTTGGGAAGGGCGGGCAAAGCTGGGGTAGAGGTTTAGGCAAGTCCGCCTGCTGGCAAACAGGCTTCAGGGCACAGCTGCCTTCATCTCCGCACCAGGCCACAGCTCCTCATCACCTTTCCTGGATCTCGAGCCAAAGCGCATCTTGGGACGGTGACTTCAGCCATCACCATAAGCTTCAGAGCAGCTGAGAGCTTGAGTAAGAGTCTCCAGGGGATCCCTCCTGTGCCCGGCACTGCAAACCATACTTTGGAGCGTCTCCAGCCCAGGTGAATAGGCATTGTACATCGAAGATGATGGTTGTTTGCCATGGCCAGAGTGAACTGATCGTGCATCGAGCTTGGCTGCACTTGGCTGGGATATAAAAAAGCCATTAAGTGTTATTATCGGCCTTAAGTATATTCAGCTGTAAATATGGCTTAATGGTCTGGAATTAAATTCACAGGAAGGATTTCAATACAGGTTTGAGTAGTTTCGGGTGGGCAAGGGGATCACAAATGGGCGATATGGGGTAGAAGATTTCACATTTCCAAGCCTTCTACTGGCAGAGGTGTGTCTCCTGGGACAGAGCTGGAGGTGACCTGAAGTACATCCAGGTGCCCCCTGCAAACTCGGGAGCACTCCGGCACAACCTGACATGGCATGAGGGACACAGACCACAACTCGAGGTTTGCTCCCCCTGGGATGACCTAGGCAGCCTGAGGTCCCCTGGCTCCTTTCCTGGGTCTGAGAAGGTACCAGCCATTCAACTGCTCTGCCTGGAAATTCTGTATTTAAGAATCCGTGACTTCTTGCCCTTTCCCTATGGCACAGGCTACACCCATACTAGTAAGTTAAACACCACAAGGGCGCAGGCTCTAAATTTAATTCACCTAGAGCCTGAAACCTGAAGCTGTCCATGGCCCAGCTTTGGCACGATCCAGCCAACGCTATGCCAAATATGAGCCACGTGCACTTTGGGAGTTACCGGGACAAGGAAATATTCCCTACAGGTGCTCTGTATGTGACCACACTTTGGAGGCAAAAGGATCTCTCTACTATGAGCATGGCCCAGCCACACCGGTTACCCTCAGGAGAACAGGCTTGTCCTACAAGGGTAGATGCAGACATGAAGCTCAGGCGTTAGCCGGCTTTCTTGTTGAGGGTCCATGACCTCTGCAGCCAGCGCACAGATGGAGACCCTGCCTGCCCAGGTGTGCCCAAATAGGATTTTGCTAAAGAAGAGAAAGATCCAAGTTTCCCAGCACCACCTGAGCTGAAGGACCCTGGAGCACCAGATAAGAGCCTTCCAGCAGGTGGAGGATTCAAGACTTTGGTACCCCTGAGAGCCAGGACTGTAAGTAACTTAAGCTCAGCAGGGGTGATTAACGTAAATGAAAAACGTAAGCAAGTGTGGGGAAGCCACGGAAAAGAGTCAAAAGAGCTTGGGAATTGTTCCGAGTAGCACACGTGACGTGTGGTGACAGACCGCTCAATCCAGAAGGTGATGTGAGATTGTAGCACAGAGAACAAAGAGGCTGTTCAGGTAAGAGACTTGGCAGGACCAAACGCAGTTGACATGAGGACGCAGTGTTATGTGACTAATAATCTCGGTAATCCCTACATCTGAAAGCAAATAACTCCGTGTTTTGCAGAAGCTTCCTGGTTACAGCCCTTGCAGCTGACTCAGCAAGGAGCTCCGGGAGGTGAAGCTCTCACCCTAGTGAGCTCAGGAAGATGCAGGGGCTGAGCTCCCAGTGCCAACGGCGCAAATGTTGCTCACTCAGGGCTGCTGGACTGTGAGACCACACGCCTTCAAAGCAGTCACCAAGAGTAGTTAGCCCACAACAGGTAATACACAGCGATGGATTTATTCCCAAATAAATGGGCCACAGACTAGTTTTTGC